GGGGGGGGGGGGGGGGGTGTACTCCCTTATATGTGCTATTGAGTATGTGCGGCCCTAAGGCCCGGGTGGACTTCCACATAAAAAAGATGAGGGTGCTCGTCTGAAATTTTTGAAAAGAGCCCCTAAGAGGTACCAAGAATCTGTTTTGTGGGCGTGGCTTAAATTTTTTTCACCCCTATTGGTACCAATTCTAAGGCAACATATTATCTCCTGTCATATTTTTTCGGCTCAAAACTCCCACTGTGGACCTTTTGAGGCTGAACACCCTAAGAGGCACCAAAACCGCTAGAAGAGCACCCCCGTCCTTTTTATTTTAAGTCCCCCCCCCCCCTTCGGGCCCTCAGGGGTATGGTTTTTGAGCGATTTTGGTCTAAAATACTTGCACGGTATGATTTTCACTCTGGATGGCATTGGATATTGGATAACATTGGCATACCGTACATGCATTTGTAGCCCTTCTCATAAATTTTGAAATAGCTGTGGTCATATATTAGAGCGTTGTGCTAATTTTAGAGGTCTGAAATTGGGTGTCGATTTTCATTTTCGGCTCAGTCTGAAATAGAGTATGGAAAATTGCAGAGTTTGATCTGAAAGTAGGGTATGTAGGGTATGGAAAATCACAGATTTTGGTCTGAAATAGGTTACAGGTTTCAACTCGGTTAAAGCCGCTCACACCGATCAAAAACCTTGGGAAGTACCCCCCGGAATTCCAGGAAACATTTCCCAGAATACAATGTAGTACTCGCGTAAGAAAAAACTGTACAGACGTGATTCTTTGCGACCTTGTTCATATATCTATCATGCAATGATATGTCATATTCAGGATTCTTGGCTTATTTACTGAATGATTACGATCTTTATTTTTGATAACATGATTGTTGAAAACCAGCAGTTAACTAATTCGCTTTAAGAAAGAGCTAGAAAAGGCAATTTTTCGGCTCAAACTTATCACACCTCATCAAAGTGGTTATCAACGCGGTTATGCCGCCAACCACTGTCAGTGTGATAAAACACAAGCTTCAGACCTCCCAAAGGCACCTAATAAAAATTGCGGGAGATGTTATTTTGCAGTCGTAGTACAGTCAAATATTGATCTGCAGTAATGCGAAAGAAAGCTTAATAGAAGAAAGCTTTGTGTTAGGTCAAAAAAAGTTATTAATGGACATTTAAATTTGTTAACAACAAGACGAATTAATTGGGTGGGGTTAATAACGTGGGGGTGACGGGGCGGAAAAATTAGGGACGTCAGCCGTACCCTCCACCACCCCTACCCACGGGCATTTTGTACTCTCTCCAGTTTCGCTCGCATCAAAAGACCAAGATGGCGGCCCGTCGAGCTCAACGATCGACATCTACGATCTCACGGAAAAATAGGGGACTGTGAACAGTCTAGAATCAACTACACTTGTAAAACTGGGCGCAAGTGTCAATCAAATAGGTGTCAGAAGCGGCAAAACAAGAAGATCTAAAATTCATTCCTTGTACTTTGAACTTTATTGCTTTTATCACTCTTTAAAAATTACATTATAAACTACTTGTTGCTGTTAATTGTTATTGTTGTTGTTGTTGTTGTTGTTGTTGTTGTTCTTCTTCTTCTTCTTCTTCTTCTNCTTGTTCTTCTTCTTCTGCGCGTTTCATTCTTTTTTTCTCTTTCAGAGAAGTGAACTCTTTGTTGACGTTGGAAGCGCAAAGTGTGGTGTGATCGCCCCGGAGGTTACTTCCCATAGGTTTTGGTGGGGGTGTAAGCCCAAACCTTGAAACCTGACCTGTACCCAATGTTGATGTGGAAAAACTATTTCCTTGAAAACAAAACGTGCAATGCCAAGCCAGCGTGAAAAACATAGCCAATTTCAGACAAATCTGGTCAAAATCTATACCTTTTTAAGGCCAAAATCACTCTAAACCATACCATTTGGGGTCGCACATACCTACAGTAGCCTCTAGTGAGCCGATCATGTATATATATTTATCTGCAGAAACGGCATTTTAGATTCCAGAGGGAGGGAGATGCACAACGAACTGAGGAAACGTAACCTGTATAACATGCGCTCGACTCAGAGTCTACTGGTAATTCGAAATAATTAAGTTGGAGCGGTACGACACGCGCGACGAGGAGACGCGTGTCCGCGCGCGCTTATGTGTCCTCGCACTCACGCACCGCTCTGACCTACTGGAGCGCCTGTAGCAGGGTCTGTACTCTGTTGCGCAGACAAGAAGAAACGGGTCACGTAGTGTGCAAATGAAATCGTCATGAAATACCCCTCCCAGGAGACATCTAAGAACACAACTCGCTCTTACAGAAATCTCGGAGAAATTAAAACTCTTGGCTGATTGTATGTATACAATGATCCAGTTTTTAATAATCATTTCTATTTCATAATAATAACTTATTACATGTAATCCTTTTTTATCCCTTAGATATATCATTACAATGAAAATTTTTACTTAACCGACTAGGTTCATAGGCTACAGTGAAATTACCTTTTTACATCTTTAGCCGTTATCAACCTGTATGTTTCTTTTCAGAAATGCATATTTTATTCCTTTTTACTTTTCGGTCAGACTTACAAGCCATTTACATTGTTGCAATGACTGAGTTACACATGATAATCAATACTCTTGGTGCAAGAACCAGTTCTCAAGTTAAAGTCTTAAGAAAAACCCAAGGATGTTTTAGGATCATAATCTCTTGCTAAAAGGTATGAAAGTTATAGTTTAGCCTAGTTTCCTTCAATATTTCCCATGGCCGGCACTGCAGCCCCTCCCCCTCCCCCGTGGGCACTGTCTTACTTCTTCGAATTATTCGAAATATTGGAATTTGTAGTATACTTTCCATACTGTCTAATTATCTTTACGTTTTGCCTCTTCATTTTCAGCTATGGCTTGTTGTACAGATCTTTCTCAGTGACAGCATCCGGTAATTCTATTTCGTTACGCTCTTCTTCGCAAAAATTGTCGTAAAATGAACTGTTTCAATCCAGAATGACTGTTAATCTTCCGTTGTCAGCTAGAACTCAGTGATGATAAACTAAGAGGTTGCTTTTTTTGTTATAAAACTCCGACTTGCTTCCATGTAGTCAGACGTGAATGGTTTCAATGTTCGGTTTTTTCTAGCCTGCGAGCAGGCTCGCCTTTGAGTTCACGTACGCTAGCGGCGAAGAGCAAGGGCGATCCGGCGGGAAGGAGTCTGCTGAAGAGGCGCCACTTTTTCGTATCGCGGCTCGATTTCGTACGCCGCGCCCGCTTGTGCTCCAACGTGAGCCTGCTCGCAGGCTAAGATTTATCTCTCTGCCGCTGATGTCAATCTTCTTCACGTTATGTGCAACAGTCGGTGATTAAGGTGCATGTGCTCATATTCTTTCGACACGCGTGTTTTTCCTCCAATGCAAGTAGCATTTACTGACGCTCTGAAACACAAAAGCAGTGAAAGAAAACAATTTAATTGACTGAATAATTTTGAAAATCTGACATCAAAAAATAACTGTTCAGTTGAACCACATTCAAGGAATATCTGTAGTAGTAGCAAAAGAAAGTGTCGGCGATGATCCATTGCAATGTTATCAAAGAGACAAATTTCAATTTTCGACAATGGATCTCAGTTTGACTCAATTTGTAAAATCTTCCAACAACAGGGACAACGTTCTTCTTTTTATCCGTTAGATGGAGTCCACAAAGCTTTTAATCTTTAAATATCCATCGCCCGGGATGTTTCAAAGTCACGCTGAAAAGCAAACAATATAAGTACGCATTGCGAACCTATTTTCCCAGCCTCGTTACTTCTGCTTTTAAATTTCCACTTTTGCTCCAGCTTTAGTCGGTACAGACCCACGAGACTGGCATTACTCACCATATCTTGATGTGTTCAGCAATTTTTGTCCAGGCGAGCATATCCTGCACGTAACCGGACAAATGACTCTGTACTGCTCCACCGTCCTTCTGCCTGCGTATCTCAATGCTTCAGGCTCACAATAATCACTCCAGTATCTGCACAGGTTTCTATAAAGGTTCCTGCATTCTGTGACATGGAAAGAGAGAAGAAACCTTAAAAAATTACCCCACTGGGGCTGTGTTGTCCCCTACTGGAACTTGTTTACAGAAGACTCCTTTTACTGCGTCCCGCCGAAAGACTAGGGACCAAGAGGACCAAGATAATCGCCCAAAATAATAATAATAATCCATCAAGTATTTTCGCCGCGACACGTGACTGAATATCCCCCCGGCGGCCAAAACTGGGGAATGCCCGAGTAATATTCTCCAATTTTCAAACCTGCGCGTGGTGAAAAAAATATTTGAAGGACAGTAAACAGATATTTGTTCTTGGACGCTCTCGGAAAAGTGTACGCTTCGTAGAACAGATAATGTCCGTGGACAAATATCCAAGCATTCTTTGACGCCAAATGGAATTTATTGTTTTTATAACTCACAATAACCATTCTTGTAAAAGACTTTTTAGCCAAGATCAGTACAAATTAATGGCGAATTAATAATTTAATATCGTCAAAAAGGCTTATTTTTCCTTGTGCAAACTTTCTGAACACAAGAAATACTCTCTAGCTACTTTAAAAACGTTTAAAACAGATCTAAAAAGTAAAATTGTCTCTAAATTTTCGACCGCCTTCTGCGGTCTTCTTCAGAGAATAATGATTTCGCGCGATTCACAGAATTTTAATGAGCTGGGACGTTATTGTTCGTTGCCCCCTAGGGAGGCAACCAGTGACGCGTAAACTCTTGGGAAGGGTGCTCTTTCATTTACGGAGTTTTTGTCTAAGCTACACGTAATTTTATTTTACGTGCAATTTATGTAAAACAATATTCAGAAAAAGCAAAGAAATCACTGTTAATTTGCATGTGCCTGTATGGGACAGTGGACTCATTAACATATTTTAACACGGCTTTTCAACACGGGCGAGGTTTCCATCGATGAGAATATCGTGTCATTACAGAGTGGACAGAGGAATGGTGGAACAGCTCGGATTTTGCGATGTCTCGCAGCGCCTTAATCAGCATATGCAACATAGAATACAATTGATTTGCACTTAACGATTAAAACCCGATGGTCTTCGAGATTCGAAATGAAAGGTAAGTCTACTGTTTTTACAATATCAAAGCTATTTAAGTTACATGTCCGTTGACTTAGATCTGTTTTGGGTCTTTTAGAGTTGCAAGAAAAATATTTTGCGTAGTAATTTTGAAATGTTCCTTGGTTTATTTTTTGGGTTTAGAGTATTCAAGTTCTGAGGTTGCAACGAGAAGAAGGGACAAAGGGAAGAAACATTCATCAACACTTGAAGAGTTTCAAGCACGTGGAAATTTTGAGTCAAAGAAAACCGATCAAAGATTAAATCTTCGCAAAGGCGTAGGCCTTGCTGTTACAGCAATTCTTATTTCACTATTTGCATAAGTAACTAATGCAAGCTTCAAATATTAGTAATAGTCTACCGCTTTGATAAGGTACAAGATTTGTTGTTACCTCTGCATCCCTCTCCATCTGGTCCCAGGGCGGCTGTGAAATCCCAACAGCAACCGTAAGGGGAATGGATACAATCAGGGACAGCTTGGGCTGCTGCAGCAGGTTCGCCTGAAAAAAGTCACGCGAAACCGACAATTTAGTGATATCTAAAGTGTGTAGGGCACAAAAGCACGATTTCATAACGCAAGGTGGTGTCGACCCAGGTTTTTACAGTCTTTTCTCGGCATTACGTGTAATCTGGACGTTTCGACAGAGCAAATCGTATGGTTTCAACACCTTATCTCTCGTCGTCTCATCTAGAATACTTTGGACACCTTGGGCGGGGGAGGCAAATTGATTATTTCATGTTCAACTTACTGCAAACGTTGCAGCTCTTAGCGCAGTATGCCTTTCCTAGAGCATTGCAGGCTTTTGCTTCGGAAAATCTTGAAATTCGTCTTCGGCAGTGGCTTGGATAACGGTCTTTACATTCTGGTAAAGAAACAGAGATTGAAAAGTAATTTCAGACTAATCCCACTGTAAAAAATTGTGTTCGTGTTCAAAATTTATACAAAACACAACTCGAAACACGAGAGCTTCCATAGGACCGTGACGCAACGTACCATAGCCTTGCGTGACGGCATTGCAGTACTCTTTGTCTTGTTGGACCCCAGTTGAAAATCAAATATCTCTTCCTTTAGAATGTTTAGTGCCAGCTTTTTTCATTTATTTACTCACCGGGACAACCCTCGCCATAATATCCTTTGGCTTCTGTTTTGTTGTCCCAACAACAGCCGTATTTACTGGCAGGCGTTGCACACTTCGGTTTGGGGACTGAAACCAGAAGGTGGCGTTACTGTTAGCACTTTTGCCGCTTGTGATCAACATCTTATTTCACCTTTCAATATCCATACAGTTTCAAGCAGACAGATGGTGAGAATACAGAAAAGCATCAAATAAAGCCTGCTTTCAAATTCTCGGTATGGGAGTAAAATCTGAATGGTAACTTGCGACCCTGAGTGCCCGTAACAGATTAAATTTACAGGCAGTTCATTAATATTACGTTTCATCTGCTGAACTTTGGTACTCGCACTGTGTGCCTATTGAACAAAGATCTCTATTCTGAATTATTTTTGTGAGAAAAGAAGAGCCAAACTGCAACTGGTCCGACTAAAGCCCGACTAAATTTTTCTTACAAATCTTTCACACTTAATTTCAGATACTCATCTGGAGAGAATCCCTCATTAATTCTTTTCCCGCTGAATTCACGTGGTCCGCTTCACACGACACGCGGACTGCCTTTCTCGCGCGTGTTGTTTTAATTTGTCGTGTGATTTAAAACTATCAGTTTTTCGCTTACCGCACTGTTTGCATGTTTGAGCGCAGCGAGTTTTCATGGATTTCCACTTGCAACAGTCGACGCTCTTCTGTCGGTAAACGTTGATTAAATACTTGCAGGTGCTTGTCCTCATTCGATCACTGCACACTGTTAAAACAAAACCACACTGAGTGACTTCCAAGATCTGATGGTCTGCACGCTTGACTAATCAAGAAATTTGGGGGTAAAATTATAGATCCCAATCGCTGCCGATTTACAATTAGCCTGCGATGTCACTGTAAGAGGCCGTAATCCGCGTGGATCTTAATTTAATCATTTTACCTATCAGAAAAATAGGTTACAATTTGTTACAGATAACAGTTGTAATAATTAAAGGGTACCAGCCATCTGAAATTATACTAAAAAGCTAAAAAAATCAGGAAGCCAGATTAACAGGACAGGACATGGGAGCTGACCAATCATTATTTGTTGCTAATTTTTAAAGCGGTTTTCAATTGAGCGTCGTACAACCAAAACCAAAGTAAACACTCTGGCCAATCACAATGGACTCAGACAATACAGCAAACCAATCAAAACTCGGCAAATACGTGTGACCGACCCAAAGCGCGGGAAAACGTCACGATTGGCTGTGGTTTTAGTTCTGATTGAATGACAAAGTGGCGCGAGTTTTTTGAGCCAATCGCTAAGCACGGAAATGCAAAACCAAAAAAAATGGGAATTACTTTCGGCACTCAATCGCCGAAACCGCTCTCATTTTAATCCTTCATTGTAGAGCACATAGAAGACTCGATCAGTGTTCTTGATCCTCCAACTCACAGTATCCACAACACATCACGCGATAAGAGTAAAACAACAACTATACGGAAAATTTTGATTTGCTACTGATTTCTAAGTAATAACGTTTCAAGCAGTATAAAAATAGTAAATGAATAGGCAGAATGCCAACTGTTTCTAGTTCTCAGCCCTCGTAAGCAAGACAAGCAAGATTTGATTACAATCGATCCAGACGCGATGAAAGCTTTGAAAACAAAAGCACGTAGCTACAATACTGCGCATTTACCTGTAGCATAGGAGGTCAGACAAAAACCAGCCAAGATGATTGAAATTATTAGTACTGTTAATGGTTGCATCTTCCTCGGGGCAACAGTCTTTCTCGAGCTCTACTTCGGTGTTTTCTCTTTTCCGTGTTCCTGATGTCAGATATTGCTTGAATTTCATGCTTTTACGTGTAGCTCGGTTGATGTGCGCAAGTGTGAGGGAAATACGACCCTTATTACCTGCAGGAATGTTATTTTTACTTCTTTGTGGTCAATGTCGCGAAAATTGCTTTTTCGAGTGTTTGCCGCCCCTATTAATTAACCACTTCCCGGCTGCAGTGAAATCCTCTCTTTTGGTTGTCGTTTTATTTTTAGGTTCATATGGTTTCGAGAGGTCGCAAAAAAGTTGAAGTTTGAGTACGTGTTTCATCTTTTACGAAAACAATCTAGACGAAATTACCAAAATTGTACTGTTTCTACCATTTGTTAACCGCATTAAAACTTGCATACTGTGTAAATATGGAGTTGCTATTTTCTTTATAGTGCTAGATATAGTTCTTTAAAGTTGTCTGTTTTCGGAAAATTGGCCGGTGAAGCCATTTTTCGTATACGTCAAATGTCAACGCCAAAATGAAATGTCCAACAGAATAAACATCGCATTATTTTGACTTAAGATTTATACTAGCGGCGGGAGGGAGCAAATCAGTTTTAAAAAAAACTTTTAAAAGGTCTTTTCAGATCCGATACGCTGCGTTTTTAAAGCATGGTGCTTGCCATGCGGCTCAATGTTTAGGTTAGCATTGTCCAGCCACATTTATTTTTTGCTTTTCGAGACACCAATCATGACACATTGTCTCCCCGAAACACGTAATGTGGCAACGCGTGTTTCGGGGCGCAGGTGAGTTCAAAGTACGGAACTTAGTATAGTGAACGGGTCATTTTTCAATTTATGTACGTTGGCCGCTGGGCTGGCGTTACAGATCTTCGCTACACAGTGCTGACGAGTCCCAAGAAGGACGAAACAGCTGTCCACTGTTGCGATCCTGCTTTATCGGTTCTTGCCATGTTGGTGTCTCGAAACGTTTTTCACGTATTATCAGCCTTGCAGTCTACTGTTTGTCTTAAAAAAAAAAGAAAAGAAAGCCTGAAATCATTTATTTTGTGAGGGTTCTATAACTGAAACGGTGGGTTCAAAAATTTTCCGGGCATTTCTAACCTCCATGACATTTTTGCTCTTTAGCCGGGCTAGAGCTTGGCTGAAAAATATTTGCTTGTGGAAAAAGTTCTTTAACCGCTAGAGTAACGTTACTCTTGAAAAGGATACAAAACTTTTTCATGTGGTTCTGTGCGGGACCACTTATTGAGTTTTGTAATTTTCGCATATTTTGGCGGTAATCATCTCTTAGATATCACAAATTCCAGAGTTCTGCCAATGTTAAATTCCTCCATTGTCGGAGGTTTTTCTATCCAACCCGGAAATCAAAATAGGTTGAAAATACTTCGAGTTGGTCGATAACAATCTGACGAAACGCTTTAATGCATTTTTTTTTTTTAATCGTTCTTTTATCATTTTATTTATTTATTTTTTCATTTGAGTGAAGGATCATTAAGATATCTACGATTAATAATTTCCGATATTTTGAACAAGCTCAATTTATTCATCAATTCATTCATCGATTCCTTCACAAGTTAATAACATTTCTTTAGAGTTTTTCACGGTCCGCAATTTTGTCATGATTTAACTTTGTGGCAAATGCATTTGTTTGTTTGTTGGTTGTGGCAAGTCCTTGTGTGGTGTGCAGGTTTCTCTGATTCCAGTTTGTTATGATGACTTCCCACTCCTTATTTAACGGGAAATATTAGCATTGACATTAGGTATATACGCGTGGTCATCGCATATACCCAGTACTTTGTGGTTTGATCGCTACATGACCCTTCATAGCATGGTAAAAGCTGAGATAGTTTACTGTCGCTCATTCAAATTTTTTCCGAAAATCCTTACTAATTCTTGCATTATCTCACCATTAATCGTATATTAAGGTTCGCCCAAAATATCTCTCCGATCAGGTCTTTAATTTCGATATCGCACGTAAAACAACAGACTCAAAGTTGAGCGACACTGATTAGCGTTCGTAGCGGGAGATTAGAATAACAAGATCCATTCGTTTTCTTTGATCTTTGTCGATATTTCTGTTGCACCCGTTGATTAACTCAAAAATATTTCTTGAAGGCAATTTCTTTTAAGTTTTGCTTATTCACTGCAGAAAACTGGCCCTTTGGTTTTCGAATCTTTGTAAATATTGGATCTTTAAAATTTGCGTGACTTGACGGAGGTAAAAGGGTGTGGCATGGAATTACTCTCTACCCCCAGAACGATCTTAAAGAGCACCGCAGCAAGTTCAAATTTGAAATTCTTTCTGAAACCTATACTTTAAAAAGTTTAAAAAACTAACAGGATCACAGAAAGTATTGCATAGTAGTGTTTCGTCAAGGACTTGTCTTCAGGATTTTATTTTAAATAAAACAAAAAAAAAATAGCATCACGGTCTCATTGTATTTCGTTTTCACTTAACCCGCTTCCCTGCAAAGATTAATCTTAAATCCGTCGTGATCTCAAGCTTACTAATTTTCCTAACTTGACTAAAACTGTCAAATTTGTTGTGGCATTTTATGTGTAGAACGTGCGATATGGGTTATATTGCTGGGTGGATACGTGCGTAGAACGTCAGATATCAGGGTTTTATATCACGAAGAGAGCACGAAATAAATCATGTTGGTGTGTTGAATTTATCTCAACGATACTTGAGTGTATCATGTGACCCTTATAGGTATAACCTGAGGTTGGATAAAGCCGAAGGAACATTTGGAATTTGAGCTCTTTCTTCTGAATGGGACATTTGAATAATTAAAAAGACTTACGTTGTAAGCAAATTAGAATGGCTTGTGCTTGTAGTCACCTGTGTAAATATCCAGTGAAACTGTTGCTGTCAATGATTACAAGCATCCCAATAAGTATCCAGACAATAAACAGAGCGCGGACAGGAGAGGATTTCAATGAGTCACAAGCGAAATGGCAGTGTTGTTCAGTCAAATGTTACTCAAAGGGCTGAGAAAAACGAAGTATATTAAATGCCAAGGCTTTTACTGTGGTTAGAGGGAACTTAAGGAGGTATCAAAATCGAGCGAAATAAAAAAGCCAACCACTACCTAAGTAGTTTTTTTTTTTTACGTGCGACGGCTTTCAAGTGGAGGGGATATGCGCCCTTGACAGCGTCTTACAAGATTAGCCCAACGAACACGAAACAATGAACGCAAACATTGCCCCAACAAGCTAAGGGAGTTGTGTATAAAGAAAAACAAATGAAAGTGAGCTTTTAAAGAAGCGTAGATCATTCGATCGATATACCATTTCCAAGCTGTTCCCATGCAAGCCTAACAATTCAAAACAATTGCATGTACACTCAGTAAAGCAAAATCTGCCAATTAAGACGCGGGGTTCCAAGGATGTTTGTAACAGCGTCCTGATTAGGTAATTTAAAAGAGGTTAGGAGCTGTTCTTCCTGATTGAAGGTCATTTCGAAAGAAATACTGGCGTATTTGGAATCTTCTTGGGGCCCACATCAAAAAAAGAGATGTTCGTTTCTTGCTGTCTTATGTTTTTTCAACGTCTGGGAACACTTCGAGAGAGCGACTGAAAAACTAGAAAGGACTCGGGATTGCTCACTAATTCTGACACCTTAGTATTCAGTGTCCACAAGCTCATCAAAGTGAGATTAACTGAGGTTTGCAGATATGAGCCAAAATATTGTTTATAAAATTCAGTTTTTAATTCATTATGTAACTGATAAAAGTTTTAACCTTAAAAGAAAACTGTTAAAAATTTCTTAGTGCTCCCTATCTTTCATTCCCAACGTCAGACCTTGAGTCAGTAAAAATCTAGACTGTTCACAGCCCTCTATTTTCTCGTATTTTTATTTGATCGTTGAGCGCACCGATAGAATCGAGAGAGAACTTGACGCCAGAACAAAACGGGAGACTCGCCCTGCTGCCCCCATCTCGTTCGCCCTCCCGCCCCCATCTCGCGTGCTTCGCGCTCGCTTCGCTCGCTTTTTCTTTTGCGTGCGCGGTTGAAAAATGGAGAGGCTATGAACAGTCTAGTAAATATCGTTCTGACTTTATATCTACTAGGCATTATATAATAAGTCAAATTATTCTCGCATTTAGATTGTTTCTTACTTATATCTACTGGAGGACAGACGCATAGATGACTTCAATAACAATCTTTTTTGTTTCTTTATCATATAAAACAGATAGATTCCATGTTGCCATGCCTCTGCATGTTCAGCTAGATCACAGAACATCCGTGACACACTCGGCTAACCCCCCGTGTACGCGTGTGCCACTTTTTTGTTCTTACCACATTTTAACATCATCTGTGATATATCACTGAACATGGAGCATGGTAACATAGAATCTATTTGTTAATCTGTAAAAACGCACACCATTAGATCTACACAGAACCACACACTTTCGAACTTTTACGTGTATGATTGCAATTGAGGCATACACGTAAAAGCTTCCTGACGAACAATTCTTCCATGCACTGCTATTTGTTGTTCAAACTATAAGCCTTTTTTCTCGGCTCTCGGCCCCTTTTTCTCGGCTCTGAAAAAGCTCGGTGTACTATAGTTAAGGAAGAAGGCGAGAATCCGGAAACCTACCAAAGAAAACAAGGTGGGACGGGGAGGCAAATGCGAGACTTTGCGAGAAGGCGAGAATAACGCTTTTCTTTGCGAGCCCGACATATTTTGAATTTGTCAGTTGCAAGACTGACACCTCAAAGTGTTTTGAATGTGAGCTCGAGACGTTCAGACGTCATTTATCAAAAAAAAAAAAAAACCTCAAACATTCTTAGCCTTGCAAAAAATTGAGGCTGTTAGACGCACGCGACCACTATAAAAACGAAACTGAGAGTCCCGTGAAATTCGACGAAAATTTTGCGAGACTCATAGTTTTCAAAGGAACATTCGCCACCCCTAAAACAAGGTTGATTCGATCAAAGGAACAACAAAAAAAATTAGCATCGTTTAACCAGTACATTCTCTCTTTCCCTGATAAACTCTCTCCCAAGACCATACTGGGATGAAACGTTTAAAAGCTTTCCGTTCCCTCGCGGCATAGACAGCCAGGGGCATTTCCTTTATGCGGAGTGTATTGCGAAGGAACTAGACTCTTGTGGTTTTGTTTTGCTCAGTGGTTCAATATAGATTTCCTTTGTAAACAAATTTTTACAATTTAATTAAGTGCATACACTTCCGGCTCTTCCACAAATATCCAGACTCTATTATTTCCGTAAATACCTTGTTTTTTTCTTTTTTGGCACGAATTTGGGGAAAAGCTGTCCTAAACAATTTAAAGAATGACATAGGTGGTGTGGCGGGGTGGAGTGTAAACCAAGATACACGAGCGCGAGGCGCGACATCAGTCACGCGATCTTCCTCTTGAGGAAGATAGATTGCGTAACGAGCCCAAAGAGTGTCTGCGTAGGACGAAGCTCTGCCCAGCTAAGCCGTTTTTGAATGTTCCTCGGGCTAAAATGTGTTCTTTTAGCCGAAATGTTTTAAGCTCGTTATTCTTGTTTCGGATTTGTTCTTGATTAGGTTTATGCAAGAGCAGATCCTCCGCTTGGGCAGTAGTGTTTTTCTGTAGTAGGAAATCATCAGTTTTGATGTTTTCCGGTCTTTTAACAGCGTTATGTATAAAAACAGGCAAGACGGTCTTGTTTCGGTTTCATTTACTAGACAGCTGTTATGAGTATTCATTGATGTTTTAAAAATAGTCAGTGTTTCAAGGGTTTGATCGATATTGATAGCACGCCCACACCCACATCCGAGGACCTCTATTATCCCCTGTTTAGTTATTTGAATTCTTCAGACAAAAGTGATGTTGTCTGTCTCAGTTACACCTGTATCTAGTCTTTCATTTGAAAGCGAATACTCCTCTTTTAAATCAAGACGGCCATGCATATTTATCAATTTGCCTCTATTACGCTTCTTTTTTCAATTATATATTTGTATGTTCGCGGGTCAACTCGAGTTAGAAGTAAAACTAAATCATTTTTGGAAACTTGTTTCATTGAAGTGTTAACTAAAACCTATGACTGAGAAAAAGTGTAGTCATCATTTCCCAAAAACCCTTTCTGGGAAAATAATAATGTAGAAACAAAATCTCGATTTACGATTTGTTACATTAAAGTAACAATGACTCAGCTGGGCGTTTCCCGGTCGCGCCCGTGCACAGCATGACAGGCGAATTTGTGGTGGATATCTCCCGAAGAATAATCGATTTTTATATCAAAAAATGTGTGCCATATTTCTAGATTATTCTACGCCGTAAAATAATCGCTTACTTGTCTGGAAACATACCTACACTTTGCGCTATTTGACTGACCACAAAATCGCGCTTTCAAGTTTACAACTGGCATTGAGAAAACTGCGGGTGTGAAAAATGGTGACACCCATTTCGGACCCGATGTCAAAAATTTTTTGCATTTGCACACTTTATTTCTCCTCTTGACGATGTGAATACAGTATTGATAAAAATAACGTGCAGTAAAAAGAAAGTGGAGAGGGCAAAATATGTCAGGTAAAACCATCTTCAGAGCCACTGAGAAGAGATTCTTGTTCGTTCATCTAAAGGATGTCCATTTATATTCGAATCGGTGCAAAAACTCGTGAAAACTAAAAAAGAACTGCCGAAAAGTTTCTTTTAATACTTATTCTCTATCTGTGAAAGTTTCCACTAACCACCAATTTACTTTTCCCTGTATTGTCATCCTTGATTGCCACAGGAATCTATCAGCGTTGGGCAATGAGGAAATTTGGCGTGTGCAGGACTGGTTCCGGTATTTTTTTCTCTTGTGAATTAATGTCTAAATGAGATTTCAAACCGTCTTTCCTTTCAAATGCGCCAGGAGCGAAAAGAAAATTTGCGGTGAAGCCGGCCAAGCATTGCCCACCTTGACTGAATTGTTAAACGATTTAGTCGTAGCTCGAAACACATCTCAGTGAGTGAACACTTAATCGCTGAAAAGGTTGGCCTTTTTTTCTAGAAGAAGACGTATGGGAAGAAGTAGTTTCCTCCGAACAGGCTCCCGACGAGGGCAGAAACTTTGAAACAAGAATTCGGCAAGCGAAGCGAGCGGGTCGGGGTGATATTGTCAAAAGGACAATAAGTACAAAAGCTATGGTTCACCCTGATTGAAATGAGCTGGGGAATCCCATCTGCAACAGGGAAAATACACACCACACCGGATTTGAAATCATTTTACTCGCGACAAACTCGACAGGTTTGCACAACCGCGATCCCACTCAATGTAAAATAAGTCACGGTTAGGGTTTTTCTTGAAAATCTTAATGGCTCAAAACCATGTCTAAAATGCAGTCTAGTAAACAGGAAATCTAAATCCTTTTCCCTTCCTACTTAGTTTTTGCAGGTTTTTAGTTTATCCCTGATAACATTCCTTCGAGAACGTAGCTGCTCTCTTTAAAAATATCTTTGTTATCCAATGTTCATATATATACTCTGGTCCCAGAGGTTTTTCTTGATTTTTCTCCGCATGAGATGAGACAGGGTTTGTTTATTGATATCAAGTTGATTGGTAGACAGAATGGTTTCAGGCTTACCCAAGAGTCCTCAACAGTCTAGAAAATAAAACATGCAGTTCCTCACGATTTATAGCATCAGTGTAAAGAATAGGCTGAAAAAGGCTTTCCAGTGGCATATCGAACGCGTACTTGAGGGATTCAGGAAATCTCATGGTTTTAAGATAGGAATTTTAATCATCTTGTGCTGTGTAATAATAAAAACCTTTCAATCTCTTCATAGGTACGCAAAAAATAAACTCCCGCCGTGAATCACGAGGGCGTGACAGCGAAACTGGTGTGAAAACAATCTGCGTGGAAGAATATTTCCTTTCGATGAAGAAACTTCGCCTATTTTTGCCTAGAACTAATTTGATTACATTGTTTCGTCCAACCGCAAAATTGAAACAATCTTTGTCGAGTGTTAAAGCAATTAAGGCATTATTTCGGTTACAAAACTCGGAAAGAACTTAATTTGAGTGTTAAAAGTGAGACTGTATATGAAGACGCTAAAATATGTGACCAAAACCATTTGAGAAATTAGGGACGGGGAAAAAATGCGTCTTGAAAAATTGAGATTTGACATTTCTTCAAATCCGTTCCTGGTTGCGTTAGCTATATTGGATTTGATATGTGATCTTCATGTCTATTATTTTTGTTCATTATTTCCTTGGCGTACTGATCTGGCTTGGGGCACAGTAATCGATTTTTCATCGCCGGAGGAAAAACCTGTTATGAGAACGATGTTCGATCGATCGCCCACGTTTCCGACCCCGCCATTGTGCTACAGTACGTCGGCGAGGTATTTTTCTGTGGCATTACACCGTGACCTCACCCATCATTGTCTGCAAACAACACTCTCAAGTATTTCGCCCGCAGGATGAACCTTTTGACCTTTTCAGCGATAAAAAGAGCATCATAAACTCATCGTACTCAATTGAACCAAGATCGACTCCGAGAGGTCAGAGAAACTGAAGAAATCTTAAGGTACAAAGAGGATTCACCAGGATCGCTTATTTTAAAGATGAACACACAGGTCACAAACGTTTTACTTGTTGTCCTCGCTTTTGCTGTGTTTGCAACGGCACAACAACGTAAGTAGTATTTTTCTTTTATCTTTCAACGGACCTCCTTTTGATACTATCACCCTGAAATCTTTTGAAATTCTGCCATGTAGTTTTTTCTTGGTTACAAGAATTTTTTTTGTTTTAAATACTTGTCTTGATAGCCACGATTCCATTCAGCACGGCCGAAACTCTTCATATTTTTCAAATGAGGAATTGGTGAAAATTTTAAAATTGCAACAGCATTAGGCTTTTTTTATTTTAAAGGATTACGCTTTCTTGTCGGTGAAGACTGTATTAGTCGCCAATATTGTCTTGACTATAACGGCCTTCATTCTAAAATGTTGGCTTACATAAAATATTTTTCTTCTAAAGAATGCCAGGACCGTATTGCGACAAAAACTTGCCAATACTTTGTCAGATTGTATCGCGAGAAGAACATCGATTGCTGCAAGTGGAAACAGATGACGAGCCACTGCGCGCTGACTTGCAAAGTTTGTGGTAAGATACCAGTTATTATATCCTACCTTAAGGTCAATAAGTGATGACAAGTTGCAACACGAGGAAATTTTCTAAACTTTCGTTGTTTTCAACATCGTTAATAGAAAAGACTTCCCACGAAAGGACTCTTATAAGAAGTTTGGTCAATATTGAAACATCAGGAAAATAGCTTCTGAATCATGCATTGAGAAAATTTTTCCGCATTAACGTAGCTCCGACCCTAATAATTACCGTAAAACTAATACTAAGTTAAGATATTAAGTTACTGTAGCCGAAAACATTCCATCACACAAATGCACAGTCAGCTAGAGAAACATGTGACCGATGGAACGCGAGAGAAAACCTTGTCAGCCAATCATTGGTTTACGCGCACTGCACGAAAAAGTTTTCTGGCATAAGTTAACTGTAGAACATGAAAACGAAACCAAGTTTAACTATAATTACATTCAAAAGGAATCAGCAGAGTTGGGGTACGTTCTTTTTCCGCTTATATTTAAAGTTTTACTATTCATTTTAAAAACGTTCTTACTTATTTTGGTCTTTTACAGAACCTATACCAAAATGTGCAACACGAGCGAGTAGATATGGCTGTTGTTGGGATAACAAAACAGAAGCGAAGTCGTATGCTGGCGAAGGTTGTCCTGGTAAGAAAAAAAAGTTATTGATAATTTTGTTGTTGTTTTTGCTATTTTTTCCCTGGCAGAACTGATAATAACTGATGATATAATAGAAAACGAAACATTTTTTTCCTTATTTTTTTCAATTGTACTGAAGTATCTGTAAAGAAAGTCATTTGTTCGTAAGACTGCCCAATTGCATCAGTTTATTTTTTATCTACGTTGACTAAGGATCCCGAAGTTTTTGACTTCACTGTAATCCAATTTAAATTAAGAGCAATTCACAGTCAACATGAGTGAAGTACTGATCATGTTTTATTTCAACAGAATGCAAAGATAAGTATGCAACCTATTGTAAACTACGCGTTTCACGTTTCACCAAAGAAAAAGCCTGCAATGAACGAGGAAAGAAAATGTGTGCAAAAACTTGTGGAATTTGCAGTAAGTTATTTGTCACATTCAGACTTCTTTCAGGCTTGGTAGTGAGACAAAAGTGGTAGTGAGACAAAGTGGCCGACCACACAGCCACTCTTGAGCCCCGTCACGCTTTACTTTCCACGATAGGCAAAAAGATTGCGTGACGGTGCCTGCGTGGGAGGCCTGAATGCAAATCGCTTTACATCTTCACGGGAGGTGTAGGGGACGCTAGTTGGGCAATGGGATATTACCTATGGGGCCTTCACCAACACTGCAGTAATGAAGTAACGATTATGAATTACTTTGTTCACCTGGGCCCGTCTTCAAGTAACAAAGTGCATGTAGGAATATTTTACCTAACCTTCTCAGATTAATTTTCCAAGTTTACTAGAACATGTTTATAGAGCTTTCTTAACATCTGAACTAGGGGAACTCTTCTTTAAAGAGATACCACGTCTGCTAACAGGGTGCATGTTTCAATCATTTTAGAGATCAAGGCTGCTGCTCAAGCGCTGCCTGATTGTCTTGACTCTCCATACGGCTGTTGTTGGGACCTTACACCTGCCCAGGGACCAAACGGACAGGGATGCAGAGGTAAATAAGGATTATGTACCATAAAAACGGGCACGCACGGAAAGGGAACTTTACGCTATGTTATGAGGATCACTCATTTAGTTTCAGTAGCTTAGCTTAATCCACTCATTGACTTTGCGCTGTTTCCAAACTTTAGTGATAGCTGAAAGCTTTATATGGTAGATCAACGTCCTTCTCCAGAATTCTAACCACTAAGTTCCCATTTTCTTTTGTTCAGTTTGCCAGAACCTGTATAGCAGGTTGTGCAGTTTGTGGGACGATTACTGCCAACCAGAAGCATACAGGTTTATCAAGGAAAATGTTATTGACAGATACAGATATAGCTGTCCAATCACGTGCGGCAAATGTAGACCAGGTCAAAAGATGTTGGACTCTTCGGTGTACAGTGAGTAGATCACTTTACAGACAGACCTTAGCGCTTTCCATACAACCAAAAATTACAGAACTTTCGAAATAGGGGTAAATGGTTCTGAAATTTCCTTGGGAAGTTTCCAGAAAATCCAAAAATTGACTAACGTTTCAATTTCAAATTCACACTGAAAATACTTTATTTGAAATTGTGTCCTATTCTATTATGTTTATTTCAATATTAAAGGAACTCAGACGCATTATTTTGAGTTACTTTGATCACGTACAAAGTCACCTTTAAATTGAAGGACACCTGAAAATAACAGTTTATTAAAATAGAAAAACACCAAATAATAATAATAAACCATAAAGAAACAAGGATGGTTAAGGATGGAGAAGAATAACACGGATTACAGCGATGAACTTGAAAAATGTAGGTTAAACTTTACAAGATGCGCGAACCGTGACGTAGCTCCGTTAATCACATGATAACTGATCAACGTTTATATTTTGTTTTATAGGGAGACTTTAAAATCAAGTTAAGACAAAGAATGATCAACGACGCCCCACGGAAGATGCCAATATACCTTTACCTAAGAGGAAATCACTAATGCATTATTAGCTGATTTGTCCAGAGCCATCGGGATTTCTGTTAAACATCAGCTTGTATTGTCCGGACTGGAAGAACAATTGAATAGAATTGTACAGTTAGTTTTGCTATGTGCTATTTATTGAATATTTATGAGCTTGCTTATAGAAAATAAAACTTATCGACAGTGAGCTCAAACTGCGTTGGAGTTGTTTAGATGATGTCATTCTAATATAGCGAGAAAAATTCCCAAATATACCTCTACTAGAGAGACACCATCAGAAAATTGAAAACACCGAATTATTTCATATATACTTCACACCTGTTTTATTACCTATCCGAGGGGAACATCCTCCCGGGGATCGAATATCCCTGTACTAAGTATGAGCGTAGGATCCTCCCGGGAAATGATTGCGCCCACACATGACAGGAGGGTACATTACCGGGGATCGAATATCCTGGTACAGCTCATGATACGCCGGGAGCGTAGCATCCTCTCGGGAAACGGGAACCCCCGCATATAACCTACACGAGGAATCCCGGGGTTCCAATGCCCCTGTAAAATGCGTGGCTCCATGACATCAGTTAGATACACTTCGATTTAGCTACACGGGTGAAACGCTCAACTCCGTCCCCTTCCCCGAGAATCAAATAGCGTACCCTCGCAAAATATCTGCACAACGCAAACATCGTCCTGGGAAACTGAATTCCTTGTCTGTACTGCGATGAAGAGTGGTTTGTATATGTATGTATAAAGTCACTATAAAAGATGAAAACATCTATCAAACACCAGGTGTTCTGTTAGCTGGTCTATTCTGGGAACTCTGCTAGTGAAGAAATCGATTTTAAGCTTCCATTAAAAGGAGTTAAATAAACGACTGCTGACAAAGGAAATTAATCTCCATTGTTGTCCTTAACTCAGATGTTTAGGGATAAACTGTTCACAGCCTCGTCATTTTTCAACGAACGCGAAAGAAAAAGCGAGCGGAGCGAGCGTGAAGCACGCGGGGAGCGTGAAGCACGCGGGGAGCGTGAAGCACGCGGGGAGCGTGAAGCACGCGGGGAGCGTGAAGCACGCGGGGAGCGTGAAACACGCGGGGGCGAGAGGCGAGCGAAGCGAACAAACGCCATCAAGTCTCCCCTTTTGCGCTAGCGTCCAGTTCTCTCGCGATTCTTTCCGCGCGTTCAACGATCGAATAAAAATATGAGAGAATAGAGGGCTGTGAACAGTCTAATTTAGGGAGGTCTCAAATGGTTTATAATTACTCCAAGATAAAAGATCAAACAATTCCATCCAGCATTACGGTTAGATAAACGTTTGTTCAGGACTAAAATTTTCATCCAAATAAAAACGTTAATCGGAGCTTGACAGGATAATTTCCTCACGCGCGCGCCCATTTTTCGTTCCGTTTTTTTCACGTCATGGTCAACGAACAAAGATAAAACAGGCAGTCATTCTGCTTGTAGTTTATCCCTCTCTTTTACTGGTAATTATCGGGGTGATTGAATCCCCATATATTCTCCATTTATCTGAACCCACAAGTCGAATATTTGTTTCTACAAAAACCAACCATCATCACTTGAGTTTTCGGCTCGGCATTTTCTCATTTTGCATTTATTTGCAAACTTTGATCGTAAATAATAAATATTAACTGAGGAAAAATATACCGCTCTAGCAAAAAATGTACAATCGCGGCTGTTCTAGTTGGGAAAAATATCGTTAAGAGTTAATAAATATTCAGTCTAAGTCTTGTCTCTTTAAATATTGGTGTTCATCATAAATCTTCTGAACTTAATTTCATAGCCAACTTCAGCCATTCATGGATGAATCAAGTTCGTTGCGTTATTTCAGTGTCTTCCTACGAATAAAAACAAACAAACAAACAAACTGAATATCAGTAAAATTTGAAATACATAAGGTTGACAATAGCGTTGTCTGGGAACAAAACACAGTATCGTGTCCTGCGTCCTTTGACGCAGATTCTAGTGTAAAATAGAGAATGCTTGTGGTCTAGAATGAGTCCGGCCCGAGTTTCGACTTTTTATAGAGAAATGGGGAAATTTCTAATCAACAAACTGTTTTTAAGATCATTTTTCAACGAAGACTGCTCCCATAATGAAATTTTAAATATGCTATATAATTCTCAGTTTCATTAAGTATTAAATGTACCTTCTCGAGAAATGTCTAAGCTTACCCTCGAATATCAGGAATATCTCGAATTGAAATCGTTTTAAGTCTAGTGAAATGTTCCTTCGAACGATCTACAAGTGCTATAAGAATAAAGAATTGAACATGAACACATTGACATACTTACTGTAAACAGAAATATCTAGCATCTTTTGGCCCGGCGTACATTTTCCACACGTTTTAGGGCAACTCTTTCTGTATCTGTCGACGACGTGTTTTTTAACAAACTTGTAAACTTCTTCTTTGCAATAACCGCTAAATAAACTGCACAACCTGTGATAATTGTCTCTGCAAACTGATGAAGAAAAGATAGGGAACACATTGGTTAAGACTCTTCTATTAAGAAGTAAGGCAAATTTTTTAACCCAACGTAAGCTGATAAAGCCACATTGTAAAAGGACTGGTTAGCAGCAACCGTTTACTTTAGCATGTTAAAGAAGTTAAATTCGCTTTCGCTATCTATATAGTAGTAATAATCAAAGATTACCGTAGTGCGTTCGACGCCGTCACTTTAATCTATATATACCTGAAATGATTTCACTGGCTGACTTTCAACCTCTGTCTATTACTTAAATCAACAGTTTTCATCAACAACCGAGGTTTTACAGACAGATATATCATTATCTACCGGAGTAGCAAAGAATTTGGATGAGCTTAACGGTCCTCTCTTAATTAAGGTCATTCCACTGAAATAGAACCTGCCCTGAGATTTTTGTGAAACTTTGCCTATTGATTATTTATACTATAGGAACTTAAATTTTGAAATAAAAATGAGGGGTCCTCATGTTCGTTTAGGAGTAACAGCACCTTGTTTATACCCAATAAATCTTTATAATAGCACC